GCTGATGATCTGAATGAGAGAGAGAGAGAGAGAGAGAGATGCAGAGCGTGTGCAGAGCAGGGGACATGAGGAACATTATTAAGAACCGCTGCTTTAGAACGTTCACAAACTTGTGAATCCATTAGAATCGTCAGAAGATTTAGAGCAGTCACTGCAATTTATGAAATAAATCAATTAAATCTGTATGTGGGAGTGTGTGTGAAAAAAAGCAGATGTAACCCCCTTTGTAATCCTTAACATTTTCATAAGTAACTGTAATTTAATTACATGTTTTTTTCTCAGTAACTGTAACTGATTACAATTACTTTTATTTTGTAATTAAATTACGTAATTCCGTTACATGTAACTAGTTACTCCCCAACACTGGTACTGTATATACAAAATACCTCTCTGATTGACTCCCTCAGTTGTCCTGATACTGCAGGTTCTGTAGCATCAGTGGGAGGTGCAGGTGAATCTTGGTTTGGGGAAGGACAAAGAGATAAATCATGAGGATGAGTGACAGCACACACAAACACAAACAGGTTAGACAAAGTCTGAAATGGTAAAATACAAAGGAAAACAAACAAATATTAGTACCACTCAGAAATTCAGTAATAGACTCTGGTAAGACTTTTCAAAGGCCGATGGTTACTGTTCAACTGTAAATAAAATATTCTTATTCTAATGAGAAGCAAAAACAAGAGATGTAAAAGTGTCATGATCTCCAGCTAGAGTGCCCATAAGCTCCACCGGAGGGCACTTCAACCCTGACTCTTGCCACTCTACCCTGTACTCCATTTCCCATAACCTTCTGCCAGGAACCAATTTACAGACACACCCCGTTTCCAATCAGGAGGACTATTTAAGTTGGACACTTGCTCATACTCTTTGCTAAGTATTGTTTGTACATTTGTTACTGCATTCCATTTTTTCACCTTTCCTTGCCTTGCCTTGCCTTGGTGTTTTTAACTTACCTGGATTTCCATTATCGTTTTGCTGCCTGCCCTGATCATTTCCTATTTTCTGGTTTACTCTTTTTGCCGCCTTGGATGTTGTTGTGTTTGCTGATGATTGACCCTGCCTGTACAACGAAGAATTAGTGTTGTCAAAAGTACTGACCGTGATACCATTCAATACTGAAATTTTAAAAACGTCCATTTCTCGCTAAGATTTTAGCGCTGATCCATCTATCAGAACACAATGACCAATCAGCACTGTTTAAGAATCTGCTCAACAGCGCTCAAATCTTCACGGGTAATGGATGTTTTTAAATTTTCAGTAGTGATGGGAAACTGAGGCTTTCTGAACCGTTTGAGGCTTTCATGAAATTGTGCCGAAAAACGGTTCATTACTCGAAGCTTTTAACACAGTGCGCATTAGCGACATCAGGTGGTCAGACTTAGTTTCTCCACCAAATCTAACGAAACATCGCAGAGCAGAGGATGGTTTGAAAAAGTTTTTAATCTGTTCCAACTCATGTCATGCGTAGTCCGGTCAACGGATTCACATATTGATCAATAATATAAAATATACAAGTGTGTGATTATTATTAATAGTAGTAGCAAAACATTTTTGGGTGAGCTGTTCGGGGTCTCTGAGACCCCAGCTATAAAACATGATAAAATGCAATAGAGGTGTGACGTGCATTTAGTTTCTATCGGGTGTTGAGGTTATTCTAAACTATTCTACTGAATCCCAAATAAGTGTACACACACATACACACAACCAAGTCAATATAAAGACAAACAAGAGTCATGCGAAGCGCAGATTTTTTCAAACCAGCTCTCCCGACCTTCCGATACCGCATGACGTTCAAAGCTTCAAACGTCATCAATCACGTGGTATTGTCATTTCGATGCAAGCATCGGCACAGCGTGTGATACAGTAGTGCTTTGAAAACTGCGTTGAAGCATCGGAGCCTCAGAGCCTCGGTATCAATCGTCCCATCACTAATTTTCAGTACCGAATGGTATCGCGGGCTGTACTTTTGACAACACTACCAAGAATATAATAAAGCCTGCAAGTGGATCCTCAACCCCGTTGTCACGCTCCTCATTACAGAATACTCAGCCATTTACAGATCAATCAGCTAGTGTCATTCAGATTACCATGGATCCGGCTGACCAAATTTTAAGTCTACATCAGAGGGACTTCGAGGATCGAAGACTTCGATCGAGGATCATGTACAACAGTTTTGTGAGTTATTATGTAGCTATCATGTAACAATCGAAGAAAGTGCACTAAAGGCCTTTTTCCATTTTGGACTCAATGAACCTATTAAATCATGGCTCCCTGAGGGAAAGTTTAAGTGTAGTTTGCGGGACTTCATGGACTATGCTTTAAATTCTGAGTGGTTCATCTGTCATTGTGGGTTTTGTGGAGGAGGAACGTGTCACCATACTACTGTACCTGTTCACGTAATGGCTGCCATACCAGAGCATCGCCACATCAGGGTTCTCACTCCAGAGCCACTTGCTATCACGGCCGAAGCCATAGAGACTGTCACAAAGCATCCAAGAATGACATCCAGTGTGGAGGATCCCCACGACCGGCTGGCTACCCCCCGAAATCAGCGCTCTCTAACATCGCAGTTTCAGCACTCTCAAGCAACATGGATTCAACGCTCTCAACCAATGCCGTTTCTGCGCTCTCAAGTGATACGTCTTCTGAGCTCTCAAACAATGCATTTTCGGTGCTCTCAAGCAACAGGGTTTTTGCACTCTCAATGCTTCTCAGCCCAGAGCCTCTTCACAAGATGGCCGCCAGCCCAGAGCCTCCTCACAAGATGGCCGTCAGCCTAGAGCCTCTTCACAAGATAGCCGCCAGCCTAGAGTCTCTTCACAACATGGTCGCCACGCCAGAGTCTCGTCCCGTCATGGCCACCACGCCACAGTCTTCAGTCATCATGGATGCCACTCCTGTGTTCCCGGTCATTGTGAACGTTGCACTTGAAGACACTCAGACGTTCCAAATACATTTGGGACTGATCTCCAGTTTGATGGACCCACCGCTGGTTTCAGCCAGAGCAGCTGGCATCCCAAGTGCCTCATCACTGTCTGTCCCAGAGTCTGCTCCTGTCCAGGAGCCTCCAGAGCTCACTCCTGTCTATGAGTCTGCTCCAGAGCTTGTTCCAGGCTATGAGTCGGATCCAGAGCCCGCTCCAGTCTATGAGTCTGATCCAGAGCCCACTGCAGAATCTCCCAAGGCGGCGGTGTCCGCTCCAGCTCCTCCCAAGGTGGTGGCATCCGCTGCATATTCTCCAGAGGTGGCGACTTCTGCTGCAGAACCTCCTGAAGCGGCGGTGGTGTCTGCCTCAGCTCCTCTCAAGGGGCTGGCACCCATTAATGAACTCTCTGCCTGTCCGGCCACAGCCAAGGAGGCCGTTTATGAACTCTCTGCCCGATGGCCACAGCCAAGGAGGCCATTTATGAACTCTCTGACTGTCCTGTTATGGCCGCAGAGGCCGCTGTTAAGCTCTCTTTGCTTTCTATTCCAGTTCTGCCTGATCCGCCTTGGTGGTCATCTGCCTTACTAGCTCCATGTTGGAGGACGTCTGCTCTGCTGTGGTGGTCATCTGCTCCACCGTGAGGATCTTTGGACCCATCTGCTCTGCTGTGGTGGCCATCAGCCCACCTGCTCCACCTTGGTAGTCTTCAGCCCGTCCTGGTGGTCTTCAGCTCCACCCTGGTGGTCTTCAGCCTTGCCTGTTCTGCTGGCTCCGCCCTGGCTCCCTGCTCTGCTGGTTCTGCCTTGGTTCTTTGCTCTGCCTCAGTCCCAAGATTCTCCTCTTCTTGCACAGTGACTTGGCCCTCTGTCCTGGACTTAATTCTGTTCTTGTTTAGGAGCGTATGGAAGCCACTCCTTAA